TTTAATTGGAAACACAGCTTGTAATATTTGGTTTTAATTCGGCTTTTATCGGGGTTTATTTTCTGTATTTTTGTATTTTGTAATTTTTTGTATTTTGTGTTTATTATTTGTTTTTAATATGCTGTGAACCGCCCTGAGTCCTATGGGAGAAGGGCGGTATACAAATTAAAATAATAAATAATAAATAAATAAATAAATAAACTCCCAGAATTCCTGAGCCAGCCAAGCTGGCTCAGGAATTCTGGGAGTTGAAGTCCACGAGCCATAAAAGAGTCAAGGTTGCCTACCCCTGGGTTAAGCAAACCTATTGTTCGCTATGGCATGTTTTTTTGCTGGAAACTGAAAGTAATCACCAGTTTCCAGAAAAAATGTAAATAGGGGCCCCATGACCACAGGACATTTAAATGTTGGGCTGGCTACCGAACACCCAAAATGCAGTTGTGTGACTGGTGGAGGGCAGATATCAGAATCTGGGACATAAGTCTCTTTTTCAGAGTCCATCATAACTGTCACTAAGTAACTGATAATAAGTCATGGACTACTTGTAAATAAGCTGTAGTTCTTTCCTCGGAGAAAAAAAAATCTCCATCTGAAGAAGAAAACCCATCTCTATGCCTTTATCTCTCCTAAACAATAGTAAAGGAGCACGCTATATGCACTTAATATGTGCTTCTACGTCCAATTTACTTCATTCCTATTTTCATATCAGAAAAACAACTGCAACAGTTCATCCAAATCAGGAAAGCTGAAGAGGAAGTTACCAAGTTACTTTCCTGCATCAGGAAAGACCAGTTATGCTTTCCTAGAGCAGGGGTGTCAAACTCAATTTCATTGAGGGCCGCATCAGCATTGCGGTTGTCCTCAGAGGGGCCGGGTAGGTGTGGCCAAGGTGGGCACGGCCTACTGGGTGGGTGCGGCTGGAGTGGGCATGGCCTACTGGGTGGGCGTGGCCAGCTCTACATCATTCGCATCAAGGGTGCCTGTGGGGGCCTGGGCAGGAGTGGGACAGATCTGAGGGTCTCTGGCAGAAGGGGGTGGGACCAGGGCAAGTGCCAAGGCATAGTCCACTGGAAGAGCCTGCCAAAACCCCTCCCCCGGAGCCCATCAAGCTGGATATGTGAAGTAGGCGAGGGCCATTTGCTGGCCACTTCCAGGCGATGGTGCATTTCTTCATTCCTCACAAAAGATGACACTTCCCCAGCATGCACCCAGGGGGCGAGGCCAACATGGCAGGGGCCGGTCCCTTGTTGTTTCCAGAGGGCCTTGTGGTGCTAAGACTGAATGCGTTTCAGCATAGATGGCCACCACAAAATTGTACATTGGCTCCCGGCTGGCCTGGGCCAGGGGCAAGGCAGTGGGGGCCGGTCCCTCACTGTTTCCAGGATGACTTCGCGGGCCACATGAAACCACGTCACGGGCCGCATCCGGCCCCCAGGCCTTGTGTTTGACATGTCTGTCCTAGAGAGTGCACCAGTCCTTAATTGCACAGGGCACTCACTGACATTTTAAATACTTTTTAACAATAAAGAGCGGCACAGTGCATTCTGGAATGTAGCAGGATATATGACAGAGAAGAAAGGATGCCTAACACAAGATCATAGTTTAGTGGTGTTTTGCATTCAGAAATCTTAGATTGTAGTCAATGGTAGTGCACATTTAAATTAGTAGAGCTGAGAAAGATTTCACTTGAAACCTAGGACAGTAACTTTCAATCAGGATAAATAATATTAGACAAGTTAGACCAATAATTTCAAAAGAACAGGTAGTCCCTAGTTTAAGAAGGAGGTCTGTTTCCTGCTGTCCTTAGTTGCATTTGTAAAATAGAGCAGTATCATTGTATAATATTGTATAAGTAGTATTGTATAATAACCTTGAATTATTGTGTATTTAATTTGAATTATTTTGCATTTTACTTAAATTTTGCTAAGATAGGCTCCAATCACAACTCTGGGTTGTCCTTAAACCAGGGCATTCTTAACCCCAGGGACTTGCTGTAGTATCAAATACTTTTCACTCTGAAAAACACAGTGTTTTGCAGGATAATAAAGCAATCCATTACCCGTTTACTCAAAAGTAAGTCCCACGGTATACAATAGCTACTTTTCTCCAGGTTAGCGATATGCAGGTTCATTACTATACAGATAGAGAACAATCCCTTCTTTGAATTGTACCTGCATTTGTTTTTGTTTGCACAACCACATGACTAGCAGAAGATCTGTTGAGGGGAACAGCATCCACAACCAACCCCTTCCCTCGCATTCTTAAACCAGTTATTTCTAAACCTGCCCAAAGCAGCACCAAAACAGTACCATGGTCAGTACCCCAGAAGCATGGAATTGAATGTCAGCAATCTATAATACAGACAGTGAATTCAGGTAACACATGTGTAACGACTACAAGATTGTGCAGAGCATTTAAGGATATTCAGAATCAGTGAGAACAGAACCTTAAATTAAGTATGTCGATTTCCCCCCGATTACAAAATCAACTTTAATCCCAAAGATACGGTTTCATATAAAGCCAATGCATAGCAAAAACAAATCGCTATTTCTCATCACTTCCTTCGATAAATACTACACTCCACCATCTAAAATCAATAACTCACTAATTTAACAGGCACTAGGAACTGAATTTAGGATACCGTGCATGTACAAGAATTTCCAGTATATCGAAGTTTAAGAAATACTGAGTATCTCTCTCACAATTATTTATTAAATGTATAAGTTACCATCTTGCCAAATGTATTTATTAATCAAACGGATATAGCCATCCATTTCACTGGAGGCAACTCTGGGCAGCAAAGAATAATCAACTCAAATAAAAACAAAAATATAAACTCCCTATTAAGAATGTGATAAAATCTTGAAACTTGCAAACTCCAGATGAAGAAAGACAAAAATGACCATCTCGTCAGTAGAACCATCTAAGCCAGCCTCTGTTGCTTGGTAGCTGCAGGCTTGAGAACATACGCAGGTCATAAGGGCTTTTTGGAATATCAAAATATAAAAATGAGTCTATAATAAAGATGAAAGAGAAAGAAGAACCAAAGGCCATTTCTATTTCTGATAATAAAGGCTGTTTAGTTTGAATTCAGGTTAGTTTAAGAATGAGGTCCATTCCCAAGATCTGTCCTTGCCCTAAATTTCTATGTGAACCAGAAATGTCTTCACATCAAATTTCTATAGTGTGTGAACCAGAACGGTATTATTGTACAATACTGTATACTGTAAGTAGTATTGTGTAGTAAACTTGAACCGTTAACTCGAATCATTATGTATTTAACTCAAATTTTGCTACAGTAGACTCAGTTCTTAGCTATGGGTCATCCTTAAGTTGGATCTTCTTAACAGGACTTGCTGTATATTAATATTCTGTGGGGCACTAGCCCAAATGATGGATATCGCATAATAATCTTTGAAATAAGAGACCTGTCTTCATTCAGCAGGATCCCTATCAAGCCCAGATACGTAACTTTCTGTTTGCTTGGTTCCAGGCCAACTTCATACCATAATATGCAGTTACACCAAGGAATGCAGTTTGACTATATAATTTAGATCTCTATTCTGCTGTTGTGAACTAGAGGTCATTAGCATGTGCTAGAGAGAGGGGATGGGATGGTTGCAAGTAGTTTTGGCATAACACGGCAAACTGGAAGAAGGGGGATGAGAGTGGTCATTGGAGAAAAAAAGATAAAGAAAAGTTTACAGGCAGATAGCTGCTAGTCTCCTGTAGTACAAGAGCATATATGGCAATAAGTAACAGAGTTTAGGGTTCCTTAAGACACTTTTAGAGGTTTTTAACGGTGCAGATAGTCCTCAACTTACAACAGTTCATTTAGTGGCCGTTCAAAGTTACAACAGCACTGAAAAAAGTGACTTATGACCATTTTTCACACTTATAACCATCGCAGCATCCCCATGGTCACGTGATCAAAACTCAGAGGCTTGACAAGTGGTTCATACTTATGACGGTTGCTGAAGGTCCCAAGGTCACGTGATCCCCTTTTGCAACTTTCTGACAAGCAAAATCAAGGGGGGAAGCCAGATTCACTTAACAACCACATTACTAACGTATCCACTACGGCAGTGGTTCTCAACCTGTGGGTCGGGACCCCATTTGGGGTCGATCGACCATTTCACAGGGGTCGCCAAGCAAGGCTGTCCGCCATTTTTTTTTTGTCCGCCATTTTTTCCCCTTTTCTGGCGGGTGCCTTACCTCCCTTGGGCTGGGCCAGCTGGTGGTCGGCCTGCTCCGTCTCTGCCGCTTGCCAGCTACGCCTCGGCCGGCGCAGGGGGCGGAACCACGCATGCGCAGCGCTCCCGGGCAGGGAAAGTCCTCGACCTACGACCGGTTGGGTAGTCCTCAACTTACGACCAGTTTAGTCCTCGACTTACGACCAGTTTAGTCCTCACCTTACGACCGGTTGGGGTCGCGGCATTAAAAAGGTTGAGAACCACTGCACTACGGTGATTCACTTAAGAACTGTGGCAAGAAAGGTCCTAAAAATGGGGCAACTCAACAAATGCAACTTTCTGACAAGCAAAATCAAGGGGGGAAAGCAAGATTCACTTAACAACCACGTTACTGACTTATCCACTACGGCGATTCGCTTAAGAACCGTGGCAAGAAAGCTCCTGAAATGGGGCAACTCAACCCACGTTTCACTCAGCAACAGAAAACGTTGGGCTCGAGTGCGGTCGTAAGTCGAGGACTAACCTGTATCGCTCCCGCTCAAACCTGCATTTTTCAACCCCTGCCTTTAAACAAGGACCACCCCACCACCTGTTGGCATCTGCGCAGGCGACGCTCAACCCCTCCCTCCCTTTTTCAGCCCACCTCACTCACCCAGGTTGACGAAGCTCATGATCATGTCCGCCTCGTTGAGGAAAGCGCTGTCCTGCGAGCTAGCCAGGCTAGGGTTGCCGGGGGAGCCCAGGTTGTGGGCGAGGAGGGTTTTGCGCTGCAGGGGTCGCGCAGTGGAGGTGTGCCGGGTGTCGCCGCCGCCGCCGCCGCCGCCGCGATGCTCGTCCTCTCCTTCCGCCGCCGCCGCTTCCTCCTCGCCGGACAGCGTGTTGTAGAGATCCAGCATGAAGAGGGGCGCGGAGTTCAGCCTGCCCGGCGGGGCCGCCGACTGCTGCTGCTGCTGCTGCCGCCGGCGTTGCTGGGGGAGAGCAACTTCGGGCTCTCCCGGCTGCCGCAGCTGAAGCCCGTGCGCGGGCCGGGGCCGGTGAGGCAAGCCCAGCACGGAAAGAATTTCCTTCTGCATCTCCCGCTTCTCGTGGGACTTGAGGCGACGGTAGAGGAAGCCCGCCGCCGGGGAGGAAGAGGTGGAGACGGGCGCCTGAGGCTGAGGCTTACCGCTCCCGGGGACGAAGCCCGCGGCGCTCCGGCTGCCCAGGAGAAGCGCCCCCGCGGCGGGGAGGAGAGGCAGCCCGGGCAGGGGACAGCAGCAGTAGCTACCGCCCACCACCGCCCACCACCAAAACCAGCGCAGCCTCAACGGCATCGCTTTCCCGCTTCTGCTCGCCGCCCTTCACGTTCAATTACAGCTAAATCTTGCCGCGGAAGCCGGAGCTCGTTCGTCTTCTGCTTCCACCACCACCACCACCACCCTCCTCCCCCGTCGTTTCCCTCGGGGGTGGCAGCGGTGCTAATTCATGGGAAGGGAAGAGAAGCGCTCGGAGTTTCCCTCCTGGTCAATGACCCCCATCCCCCGCTTCCGAGCAGCCCCCGGGGGGCTGGGGGGGCACCGCCGCCAGGGGGGTTCTGGCCTCCTGGCCCCCTCCTTCTGCAAACTCCAGGTGCAAAAACCTTCTGGATCTCGCACCCGGCTTACATCTCCCGCAAACTCCTGCGCGGGAGGTTGGGGCGACCGGGCGAGTTCAGCGAGCTGACTCCGGGCTCTCTTTTGTCCACCGAGTCAGTCCGGTAGCCCGGCAGCGTTTTGCGCCTCTCCCGCGCCAAGGACAAGTGAGAAGCAGTCCGCGCAGGAGTGAAGTTCTCAGGGGGGGGGAAATAAAATAAAATAAAATAAAATAAAAAGGAAGGAGCTGGGCGGGAAAGGGCTGGAGAAGGCAAAACACAACAAAAATCCCCACACGAAGTGCCAACACCCNGGCGGACACAGCCGGCTTTCCTGCGATGGTTTTTCTCTCTCGCGCGCGCGCCCCCCCCTCCCCCCCCCGGTAGAAGTTTGCGAGAAGGACGAGGGGAGCTTTCGAGAGAATCGCTAACAGCACGCGCTCTCCTCGCGCCAGCCCGGGCTCGAGCTTTGAGTCACTTCTGCGAGCTCAGCTGCCCGAGCCTCAACAGGTACCGCGCTCCAGCTGGCAGAAGCGCCCGCCTCTTTTTCTCTCTGGACGGGCGGCGAAGGCAACTGTTAAAGCGGCTCCCGGTCCCCTGTCCCCGTCACTGCCGGAACCTCTCCGCCCCGAGAGGGGGCGTTGCCTCCTGCAGGACGCCTGTGGCTGCCCCCTCGCTTGAGGGACCAGCTCGGCGCCTTCCCCGGTGGGTAAGATGGGCGGGGGAGGGTTAAACCATGATGAGACCGGGGGGGGGGGGCTTTGTCGAAAAGGAAACACGTGCGAATGAGGGTTGGGTTGTCTTCGGATAACGCAGGTGCTGGGAAACTTGGCTTGGACTTGGTTTTGAAAGCGGGGGTGGGGGGGGGGAAATTCCGCTTTTCAGGAATAAAATAATTATTTCCAGTGGTTTATGATTTGTATTTCTGTCTCACTCTTTTATGCATTTCTATGCATAATCTCACCTTTTTTTTTTTTTACTTCCAAAGAGCAATATGTCGAGTTTGGGGGAAGGCATTGATTTCTCAGGAAAACACCCTTTTGCTGAATTAAAACCCAATGAACAATCCTGCAGTCGTCCAGGTTTCACAAAACTCTTTTTTAGGAGCTCTTCTATTAGAGAATCATCTTGTCTGAAACTGGAAGGTCCTTATAAACTCAAATATAGTATAAGTTTGAATTCTTCCCCGGAAGGAAGGAAGGAAGGAAGGAAGGAAGGAAGGAAGGAAGGAAGGAACTATAGTTAAGGAACTATAAAAACAACAAAGAAACTATAAAGAACATGTTCCCCCCTACATCTCGGAAAGTGTAAGAAGAAAATGCTTTCAAGGTAGCCTAGAACGACATATCCCTACAGATATCCTTAGCTCCACCAAGATTTGGCAGCATAATCTTAGGGGATTTCTCAGAGTTTCTTACTTTTAACTTGCCCCTTACCCTGTGTAATATTCACGTTTCAGAAAAAGTGGAATCAAAAACTATTTGCCATCTTGTATTACTTTTCTTCCTACTAATTACATAATGTCTTAAAGTAGTTTTAATACAGTTTTTAAATAAATTCTATTTCCTCTACTCAAAAAAGAAAGAAAAAGCATCTATAAGGAGAACTTTCTTTGTGGGACAGGTACACTCTTTGCCAGAAAATGGTATTTTAAGAATTTACAAAAGCCATCAAGTTGTAGGATCCAATCTGGTCCCAGTGACCCACCCAGATTGGATCCTGCAACATTGTCCTGGGACACGGATATTTGCCTTCATTGGTGACCATCAAGTTGCTCTGAAGAGCCCTAAGTGGCAAGAACAATGTTTTCCACTCTTATTTATTAAATTTCACTCGACGTTCATTCAGAATTTTTGAGAGTGTGCGTCATCTTTCCAGTTTGTTATACTTCGTATCACTATTCTTATGGCAACTACTGTACAAGTAGTCCTCAATTAACGATCATTCATTCAACAACCGTTCAAAGTTATAGTGGGGCTGAACAAATGATAGTTATGGCTAGTCCTTGAAGTAATGGCCATTGCAAGCTCTCCCCCCACATCACCTGGTCAATATGTCAGTGCTTGATAGCCAGCCCACACCTATGACCGCAGGGGCGCTAACAATGGGACTGCTGGGATTGCTGTTGCTAAGTGATGCAGTCACATGACACTGCACCTTACAACCACATCACTTGGCATTGGACATTCCAGTCTCAGTAAGAATAGAATTAATTAGAATTAGAATTAGAATAGAATATTCTTTATTGGCCAAGTGTGATTGGATACACACAAGGAATTTGTCTCAGGTGCATAAGCTCTCAGCCTACATACATCATAATCATAAAATACATTCATCATAAATCATAAGATGCAACACTTAGTGATAGACATAGGATATTAAATCAATTATAAATCATAAGATGCAAGCAACAAAGTTATTAACTAAGGAGTATCTGCATTCTAGTGCAATTTGGACTAAGCTCTTCAGAATACATTTTTAGAGCACAGGACACATTGATAAAATCCCCTATTGAATAATCCAGTAGTCAGCTGTAACAGTCAAGAAAGGTTAACCTGTAGTGCAATATGGAAGTAAGAACTGAACAGGTGCAGGCTGCTACACAGTACTTTGCGAAACTAGGACCCTTGTTTAATCATCACCACAAGTCACATCCTAGCTTTTTATGGATTTGAGTAGCTCTTTAGAAGGTCACAGAAAACTCAGCTAGGTCAGATCTGGTTAGCATTTGGATGGCAGAACACCAGGGAATATTAGGACTGGAGGCTAGACTGGGAAATAAAAATTGAAAAGAAAGCAATTCCATTCTGTTGCCAAGAAAATTACATGGACATGCCCATTAAATTAGCAGAATCAAGGATAACTGAAATATGGCTTTAAAAATGGTAATCCCATTTGGAACAAAAAAATCAAAAGAGCAGATATGCAATAGGGAAAAATCCCTAGACAAATGATTAGATCAAAATATTATGCAAATGTGTGTTTCCTCCTATTCTTCAATTGACTTATGGAGGCTCTCATACTAAAAACAATGTATCTTATTTCACAAGTGGTGTAGTTAACAGGAAGCCTAATAGCTTGTAAATAACTTAAACAGGAAGTCCATGAACTCAGAACAGTTTTTTAAAATAAACTAAGTAATAAATCTTTGTTCATTCCAAAAGATTCCTCAAGATAACAGGCATATTTTCCTTTGGCTGACAAATAAACCAAATGCAGAAAGCAGAGTAAGTTAACTGTTATTAAAAACACTACAATAAAGGGTAAAAAAATATATTCCATAACTGTGGGGTTCCTGTGAAATACTGGCTGTTTTTGTACAACTAAATGAGAACAATCCAAACCACTTTGGCTCAGTGTTTAAACTTAATCACAAATTTGTTTAAGTTTACCTTGTATGACAAGCTGAGACAAACATCTGCCCCCTCACACACACACTTTTTCTCCTATAAGCTGCTATGATTTGAGTTCAAACTTAGGATTCAAAGTTCTGCAGTATGTGTGCATCATATAGTTTATGTCAATAAAAATACAGAGATGATAAAAATGGTTGTAAGATGTATTAAAGCAGCAGGAGTTTAATGATAAACTGTCTCCAGATGAATAGAAATAAACAATCTGTCTATAACACTGTAAATACTGTTATTATTCAAAAGTGCTTACAGTATTACAAATAGGCTTCTGTCAAAAAAATAATATAAGGCGATGAGGCAATTTCCTATTTGCCCTGTCCTCCTTATGCTGACTTCTACGTCAGCCAAAATGTTTTGGTTCTGTGACATCTTAGGCCATACTCTACTGCTGTGTTGCAATCTTTCTCATAAACCTGAATAAGGTAATATTCTACCACCAAGATATTTGCTATCCATATTGCTGATCTCTTTCCTAGCTCTATTGCCTCGATTTCAAGTCAATGCAATCACCTGATTTCCCTCTAAGAAAATGGTGACAAAGTCTAACAGATTTTATACACTCTGAGACAGCCCTTGGATGGTATCAGATTAAGGGCAAAATACTACTTTAGCTACCAATACAACTATGAAAGATTTAAGTCTGTCCTGCTCATGGATTAGAGACATTAATAATAATAATAATAATAATAATAATAATAATAATAATAATAATAATAATAATAATAATAATAATAATAATAATAATAATAGTAAAGTTGGAAGGGACCTTGAAGGTCATCTAGTCCAACCCCCTGCTCAGGCAGGAAACCCTATACCATTTCGGACAAATGGCTGTCCAGTCTCTTCTTAAAAACTTCCAGTGTTGGAGCATTCACCGCTTCTGGAGGCAGGTTGTTCCACTGGTTAATTGTTCTCACTGTCAGGAAGTTTCTCCTTAGTTCTAGATTGCTTCTCTCCTTGATCAGTTTCCACCCGTTGCTTCTCGTCCTGCCTTCAGGCGCTTTGGAGAATAGCTTGACTCCCTCTTCTTTGTGGCAGCCCCTGAGATATTGGAACACTGCTATCA